CCAGATGAATGGCATTCCTTTCCACCACTGACTCTGTGGCTCAAAACACTTCATTTGCTTGTAATAAACTTGGAAGGGCTTGGTACAGTTTATTTTTGGACACTCAGTGAGTTTTAAAATGCCGTGGGAATTTGCAGTCTGGTGTGTCGGGAAACAACTCATAAAGCTCAAGTGATCCTTTGGACTGAGTTCATAGGACTTTTTTGATCCTCAAAGGCGTTTATTCCTGGATATTCTATCCCATTTAGTTTAGTGTTGATTTGAGGCTGTTCTTATATTGTTTACAATGTTGTAGCTGTCAGTGACTTAGCTCATTGCGTTCTGAATCTAAAGGACTGAAGAGCATCTTCCTTCCTTGAGAAAATACCTCTGTACTGTCCTCTGTGAACATTTTATTCAGCCAAGTATGCATATTTGCTCTTTTACTATAATCATTAGCTGACCGGAGCCTGTCTTCTCTTCCAATACTAGTTCGGCCATTAACTACCAAATACTCTTTATAAAACATGAGGCTTAATATAAAAAGGCAAAATATTTGCATATCATGTATCTGAAAAGGGACTTGTCTCCAGAATATATAAAGAACACCTGGAATACAACAATAAAAAACAAGTAATCTAATTTAGATTTGGATAAACATTTCTCCAAAGAAGATTTGCAGATGTCTCCTAAGCTCATGAAAAGATGTTCAGCATTATTAGTCGTGAGGTAAATACAAATAAAAACCACAATGAGAAACCACCTCACACCCCCTAAGATAGCTATAACAAAAAAGGCAGACAATTACAGTGTTGGTGAGGGTATGGAGGAATTGCAACCTTCAAATTACTGCTGGCCATGGTGTAGCTGTTCAGAAAACAGTCTGGAAGTTTTTTAAGTAGTGTTACCCTATGACCCAGCATTTCCACTCCTAGAATTGAAATATATGTCCACTCAGAAACTTGTATACATACGTTCATAGCAGTATTACTTATCATAGCTCAGGAAAAAAAACCTAAATGTCAATCAACTGGTGAATCTGGTGAATGGATAAATAAAATACAGTATATCCATAAGTAGAATGCTATTCAATAGTAAAGAAAGAATGAAGGGCTAAAGCTATACCATGCTACATCATGGGTGAACCTTCAACACACTATGCAAAGGAAAGATGTCAGACATAAAAGTCCAAATGTGTCTATTTATATGAAATGCCCAAATTAGACAAATTCCTAAAACAAAAGTAGATTAGTAACTGGCAGGGGCTGAGAGAAGGGGAGAATCAAGAGGGATTGTTTAATGGATCCTTGGTTTCTTTTTGACGAGATGAAAATTTCTTTATTAAATGTATGCACATACAGAAATAAGGTGAGATGTATGCTTTAAAGGGGGTGAATTTTATATATCTAGATTGTGTCTCAATTTTTGCAAAGTTGGGTGGAAATGAAAACAAATTCTCAGACTGTATATCTTAGTCCATTTGGGCTCCTATAAGAAAATACCACAGACTTGATGGTGCATAAATAACAGAAATTTATTTCTCACACTTCTGGAGCAGGGACATTTACAATAAAAGCATTGACAGATTCAGTGTCTGGTGAGAGACCATTTCCTTGGTCATGGATGGTGCTTTCTCTCTGCTTCTCCTTATAGGGGACGGGCAAGGCAGCTCTCTGAGGCCTCTTTTATAAAGACATTATTCATCTCATGCCTAATCCCATGATCTAGTTGACTCCAAAAGACCTTACCTCTTAAAGTCATCACATTGAAGGTAAAGTCATCACATTGTATTTTGGGGGTAAGAACATAAACATTCTGACCATAGCTGGGTACATGTGAACAGGGGATTTAAAACCAGAGAGAAAGTTTCTGCACAAGCAGGTGGTATGGCCATGAGCCTCTGAAGCAGCTGAAGTTTCGTTCCTTCAACAGTCTTGCTCTCAGTGGAAGGAGCCACTAGGGAATTTCTACCTACTGGCTTAGGGGAACTACAAAGAAGGTAGTATTTGCTTGAATCCCTGGGAGGAAAAGGAGTCTTGCATGAGAAATGTAAACCTCAAAACCCAAGCCTCTACCACCAAGGGGACTGAAGATCAAAATCTTATTATTCATGTGTTGCAGGATTCCCAAGCACAGAGACAAACATGAAACAGGCCCAGAATTGAGGACCCCTCTGCGGGGACTCAAGAAAGCAAATGCATAGCTTCTGCAAGACATTTGCACAGGAAGAGTGTATGTATAGGAAAAGCAATCTTAGCTGGAGATGTCTTTTAATCCAAATGATGAATCATGAAGGAAAGGAGCACCTGGAACAGGAGTTAAGAGACACCCCATATAGGAGGATTAGTAACACCTCCAAGAACTTTGTGTATAGCTTTTATGTTTTCATTGATATCAGTTAAAAATAAACCTAAAAATTTTAAAAAGAACTTAATACAGTCATGTGCCACCTGTTTTCGTCGGTGATGGGCCGTATACACAACAGTGGTCCCATAAGATTATAATGAAAATGAAAATTTCTTATAGCCTGGTTCTTCATAGCTGTTGTTATATTGTAACTTAACACTTTACTCATGCATTTGTGGTGATGCTGATGTGAACAAATCTATTGCACTGCCAGTCATATAAAAGTATAGCCCAGATGATTATGCCAAGTACATAGTACTTAATAATAATAATTGACTGTTAGTGTTTTATGTATTTACTATACTTTTTACCACTGTTCTTATCTTTAGAACACTTGTTTTTATCCTTAGAGTGGTGTATTTGCTCTAAAACAGTGTGCTGTGTTACCCAGGTAACATCTTGTGTTGACTGTGTGTCTTAGTCAGCTTTGCACTGCTGCTGTGACCAAAAGACCTTCAAGAATGATTTAAAAGAGGAAAAATTTATAGACGGCCAACTCTATTATATCTCGGAGCCTGAAGTGAGGCTCCGAGTGGAAGGAAGCCTCAAGTGGAAGGGACACAACAGAGCAAAGCAGCTCAGGACCTGGCAACCAGGAAGCAGAGAGAGAGCGCTGCCCTCCAGGGACAGAATGGAAACCCCAAAGGCATACTGCCAGCCACACCTACCTGACTATAATCACTACCCAGTTAATCCAGATTTGTGGATTAATTCACTGATTAGGTTACAAGTCTCATAATCGAATCTTTGACCTGTGAACATTCTTACATTGACTCACATGTGAGCTTTTGGGGTACACCTCATCTCTAAACCATAACACAGTGTTTATGCTGACATCTAACATTGCCTACCCTGAAAGATGCAGTCCACATTTTGAAGGTGAAGCTAATAGGACTGCTAAAGATATAAAAGGAAAAGAAGACTCCACACTCTTTCCAGCTTCCTCCTCTCCCCCCACCCCTTTCCTTCCTCCCTTTCTTCCTTCTATTTAAATGGGACCTACATTAGTTTCCTCACAGGGCTGTAACAGATTACACAAATAAGAGGCTAAAAACATTGGGAAATCATTGGTTTGTTATTCTGGAGGCCAGAAGTCTGCAATCAAGGTGCTGGCAAAGTTCCACACCTTCTCACGGCTCCGGGGGAGACTTCTAGCTCTTCGAGGGGCTGGCAAGCGCCAGCACCCTCAACTTGTAGGAATCACTGAAGTCTCTTCCTGTGTCCTCACATTGTCGTGTGTCTCTTGAAGGACACTTGTCATTGGATTTAGAGCCCATCTGGATAATTCAGGTTGATTTCATCTAGAGATCCTTAACTTAATTACTTCTTCATCATTTTCCAAATAAGATCACATTTACAGACTTCAGTGAATTAGGGTGTGGACTTGTCTTTTGGGGAGGCCATGGGTTAACCCACCACAGGAGCTAATTGAGTATGTGTGAAAAACAGGTGGGGTGTTATTGGCCTTCTTAGGCAAAATATAAAGTCTACAGGGTCATGAGAGAAAACATTGAACTACAGAAAAATTAAAAATGTAAATGATGATTGAACTACAGAAAATTTAAAATCTAAGTGCTGAAAAGCAACATAAGCACAAAACACAAGATATAAATGGAGGTAAATATTTGCCACATATATCATGGACATATCCAGTATGACTTGCCTAATCACAAAACTGGGCACAAAAAAATAATGACACCAAATTATCATAGTGATATATTACTATAGTATATACAGTGTTTTACTATAATAACAATAATACAGTAAAAGTAAAGTAGTAGTGAAAATCATAATAGTAGCAGAAACAATAATATTCCTATTCCTATTTGTCAGCTGCCATTTTTGTAGTGGGAAAAACAACCCAGAGTTTCCAACTCAGAGGGACTTGTTATTTCAGTTAGTGTCCCCAGGGTAACTCAGTTGCTTGGGCTTGATCCTTGATCTCAGGACTTCTCTTTCCTTCTCTCTGAGCTCAGAGAGGCATGTGTGTGGTGTCAGATTTTGTACTAATATGGCTGGCTGTGTGCCCATTGGACCATGAGCTGTCTGGAAGAAGAGGATTGTCTTTTATCCAGCCCTGAAGCACCAGTACCTCAGATCTGCCTGTCACCCAAAGCATCCTTATTGACTCACATTGATTTGAAAGCCCTTAAGATCCCTCTGTGTGTCGGTGTCCCTCTGATGCCAAATAAGACCAGAACAGCATTTTCATATTCCCAGCAAGACTGTTGAAAGGGTTAATATTTTATCATAAGTAATCTCCTGCTCCTCTAAAAAGGCATTAAGTGAAAGATTTTTATTTTTTCTACGATGTGCTTAGTTTTATAATAATTTGTTTCTCCATGTAGTCTCTGAAATATTCGTAAGGGGGTTTTCGTGTTCACTAATGGTAAATGTGAGATACAGGATTATGCAATATCAGCCCATCTTTGTCTCGGGACATTGTGTCAAGAATTGATCTTTCAGGATTCTGTCGTTCTACAGGAAGATCCTGCAAGGTCTCTCTGCCTGTGGGAGGGCCAGGGTTGGCTGCTTTGGGGAGATGGCCCCCTATCTGACGCGCTGTTTCTCTTCTCCCCGTCTCCCGCTCTCCTCCTCTCTTTCTGGCTTCCCAGTGAGATGAAGCAAAAGCTGGACGAGGAAGGCAGCAAGTGCAGCATCCTCTCAAAGCACCAGAAGTTCGTGGAGCACTGCTGCATGCGCTGCTGCTCGCCCTTCACCTTCCTGGTCAACACCAAGCGCCGCTGTGGGGACTGCAAGTTCAACGTCTGCAAGAGCTGCTGCTCCTACCAGAAGCACGAGAAGGTCTGGGTCTGCTGCGTCTGCCAGCAGGCCAGGTGAGTGGCTGGGCACACTCTCAGGGTCTCAGCTGGTGGCACCCACCACTTTCTTCAACCAGGTGGGTGCAACAGTGATTGACAGATCTGCCTGGAGTATTGACTACAGTAAAGAGATGACTGAGGTGAGGTGTGGCGAAGGATAACTGTTGACCTTCATGAAGAGGATGAGGGGGGGGCCTCACAGGAGCATGTGGGTGTGACTACAGAGGAGAGATAAGGGCCATGTTGGAATCGAAGATGCAGCTCCCACAGGCTTTATCCTTTTAAAATTTCTTATCTGGTCTCATCCTTTCATTCATTCATTCATTCATTCATTGCAAAGCAGACATGGGATTCTTAGGAATTATGCAGCAGTAATTATGCAGGAAATGTGAAGGTAAGGTAGGCAGGTTGCTGATGACCCAGAGACTTAGGGAGATGACTGGATATTGGTCTCAGAATGTATTGGTATATCCCCTGACAGCCTGTACGTTGATTGTGGGGACACTGAACAAGGGGTGATTGGCCTCAGGGCTTGGAGAAAGTTTCAAAGTGGCCAGGAAATAAAAGCAGGATTGAAAAGGATTAAAAAAGATTTAATACTGTGGACAGGGAGATGATGACCACCGTGTGAAGGAGATGATTGAAATTTCACATCCTCCCTCAGGGACTGACAGCATTTCTTTGATATGTTGAGTATTTGGACACTGCTGAGTTTGATAAGCCAATGTCTAGTATTTGTTCTTTACGACTGCAAAATGTCTTCTGATCCTAGCCCCTGTGGAGTGCACTGTGATTTGTGTTTGTGACATCTTCCATAACGACTGTGTTACAGTGAGTGAGCAACACTGAGACTGGCTGGTCCTGAGAGCACACACTCAGGCACTCTGACTTTTCCTTCCTTCCTCCCCCTCTCCTCCCTCTGCCCTGTTTCTTGCTCATATCCTTTAACATATCAAGTCCTAGTATTTTCCCACAGAGGTAGTTAATGAGGATAGCTACTAAGTACCCTCCCTTATGAAGTAGTCTCTGAGCTGTAAAGAAAAAAGTAGCTCAGAGACACCAACTGAAGCAAAGAGTGGTTTATTGAACACCCAGTATCCAGGGCTGGCTAGGTGCTGCCCAGGTCCTGTGCCTGACTTTCAGAGCAAGGAACTTATCTGAGTCTCCAGGTGGCAGGTTAATAGGAGTTGGGGAGTGGGTGATGCCCTGTGACAGAGGGAAGGAGAAGATTGATTGTCCATGAGCATATGTTTGGGAACTCAGACAGAGAAAGGTTCATTCATGCCTTCCACTTCTCAGTAAAGTTGGAGTAAGGTCAGGCACTCTGGACAAGAAATCTGGATATTGGAAGAAACAAGGACAGGTTTGAAATAGCTGCCACAAGAGTTGGGGATCTAGGCTCTTCCCATAGTGTGTTTTGCACCAGCCACACTTAGCCATCCATGTGCAAATGTAGACAGTGATCTGTTCCTGGGTTGGGGGTTTTCATGGGTTGGGACAGGTCAGAGGGTGACGCGTATCAAATAACAAAAGATATTGAATAATGAAGGAAGTAAAGACAATATCCACATAGTGAAGGGAGAAAGAGCAGAAGGGGGCTGTGAATGTACTGGAAGAAAATGAGGGGGCCAGTTAATAAGAAGTATCTGGTAAAATTAAAGAGTGCAGTCGTGGTACTTAACAAAGCAAGTTGGAAGAAAAGAAAATTCTATGTAGGGGAAAATATGTTTGAATTGGTGATTTCCCAATAGACCAGTTGAGGAAGGGGAGGTAGGATCTAGACTAGAAAGCAAGGAACTGAAAAGCCAGAGTGCATGGATTCTGACTGGGGTAGTGACTGGGGTAGTGGCAGCATTATGGGTGTGAAGAATGACCCAGCTGACAAAATCTTGTCAGGAAGAAAATCTAGAAGGTTAGGAAGTGACAGGAATAAGAAGTGAAAGAGGGCAGTGTAACGGTTGTCATGATTCCGCCCCCTGTAAGTGGAGTGAGTCTAATGTGTTTGGTCAAACATGGCACCTTGAACCACACTAGCGTTGGTGACCAACTGGTGGACCTCACTGCATGACCGTGGCCCTATCTTTTTAACTCCATTTGTGTCACTAGATCCTGGCTCATAGAAGGCATGCCAGTCTTTGTGAGCTGAATAATAGAACAGGATAATGCTCAATAGCAGCCATAAGCATGGTACAGATGAGTGTTGGGAATGGTCCAGATGGAACTCAGATGGAGAAGAGGAATCACAGGATGTTCACAGACAAGAGGTGAAGTAAGCAAAACATGCACATCCCCCAGGGGTGTGGCCAGCCTGGAGCAGACCACTCTCAGCAGAGTAATGGCTAGTGGAATCAGGTCATTTGGGTTTGGTTTTTACAGGGTCATAAAATCATGAAATTATACATCCTAGCAGTTATTAAAATACCTATTCTTTACTATGCTTCAGTATATTCCCATACAAACAGAAGCAAGTGTTTATACTTACACGATTTTTATTCTTTAAATTTTTCTTTATTCCTTTTCTCCCTGGATGATAAAAATCTCCCAAATTGACTAAACCATTAGTAGTATTAAAGAATGCAGTCATTAAGCCTTTGACACTCACATCCACCCCTAGTTGATTGTGTTGGGGGGACTATTATTAGTTACAATTACAATCAAATTATTCACATTCATCAAACAGTAGAAATGCTGAATGATTCCCACACTATCTCAGAACCATGCTACTTGTAAGTGGGGGGACCTGTCCTCAAAAGATCTTCTTATTCTCCTCCTGTGCTACATCTTTTAAACCAAATCATCCCAAACATTTGCCAGATATTGAGTAAGAAGTTGCAAAAATGGCTGTAAGTCTGCATTTTAAAATTCCATTTCACGTTTATAGCAACTTAGGAAAAAAAGAGACTTGGTAATCCTGTTTACCTTAATTTTTCATCACTTCTGGGGCCACATTTATGACAACCCCTGAATCTCAGAAGTGGAGCATGAGGGACTAAAGAACTGTTCACAGGACACCTGAGAAAATAAAACAAAACAAAACAAAAAAAGTGGAGGCTTACTAAGGAGTCCTCCACATTCAGTGAGTCCACCTCAGACTAGGCACACTATGACTTCTTGATCAAAGTCAGCAGAAAGACAAGGCTGAGAAAAGGTTGGAAATTTGCTGTTTTAATTTTGGATCATATTTTACAGGGATGTTTTCTGGGGTCTTAAAATCATTGTTGACTAAAACCAAAAGACACAGAGAAGTTTGGCTGATTCTCTATTTTTCCATATTTTTCCAAGCCAAGCATAGGAACTTTTTAAGGGATGAAATCCACGAGATGTAGGGCATAGTTTTGACTGATCAAATTTCTCAAAGGCTGAATTTGACAAAGAAGTATGTCCAGGTCAGGATACCTCTGATGTATGGCCTTTGGGCTGAAAGTCTTTTACATTGTGCCTGGATCGCATTTACATTTTTTGGAGAATGCCTCTAGCTGTATAATCTCTCAGTGTTACACATTCATCATGTAAAATATTTAAGGAATATTTCAAGTTGAGCCACATATGGAAAATTTTAGATAAAGAACTTTTAGTACAAACAGAGAAATGAAAAGTTGTGCTGCAATTGTGTACAATGAATCAAAATGCATTTTGCTGTCATAGATAACCTAATTAAAAAAAATACATCCTAACTTGAGATGCTAAAATGTAAATAAAATAGTTAAAAAAAAAAGAAAGAAAGAGAAGAACTTTCAAAACCTGCCTATTTTGGGGGGGGAGGGGGGAGCAGAAAGATATTTTACAACAGATTCTTTAAACCTTTGATTTTACCCCAGCATTGTGCTGGAAGATTGGCAGAGCAGATCTTCTGCTACCTTCCATGTTATCTAACAGTTCATCTCCCCCAGAATCCCAGGTGAAACACTATCCTTAGTTAGAAGTAATTTATGTTAGACATAAGTTTTGAGGACCTTATTCCAGCATATTCATATTTAAGAAAGTAAGTTTTTAAAACATTGTATGTGTCAGATTCCATAAAGATCACATTTTGTGTGTGTGAAATTTCAGGAAAATAGACAGCAGCTCTGTGAAGGTGACAGATGACAGCTGTCATAGGCCACAGGCAGGCCTATACTCTACTCCCTACTGCCCATAACATATTCCACCTCTCTTTATGTAAGTGAACCCCATTTTGCTGCACTGGTTTTGTTCCTCACTGTTATCCAGTGGCCACCATATGCATGCAAAACTCATGAGATACCATGTACATATGAGCTTGGGGTCATGTTTAATTATAATAAAAATTCTAGACCACCAAAAATTAAGGAGCTAGGAGTTTAGGGCAGACACTTGTCTGACAGTAGTAACACACAGCATCAGCAGTAACTACTAGGGTCTGGAGTTGTATGTAGCTCAATGTAGAGCACTTGCCTAGCATGTACGAAGCACTGGGTTCGATCCCCAGCACCACATAAAAAAAAATAAACAAAATAAAGTTATAAAAAAAAAAGTAACTCCTAACTATTGAGCACCTGGGCTGTCTCCAGTGCAGTTCTCTATCAGTGACTCAGGTTAGAAACAGCTTGTTTTAGTTAGCTTTTTCACTGCTATGATCAAGAGAGAGACCAGACAAGAACTATTTTAAGGAAGAAAAGTTTATTTGGGGGCTCATGATTTCAGAGATCTCAGTCTATAGATGGCTGACTCCGTTGCTCTGAGCTGAAGGGGAGGCAGAACATCATGGTGGAAGAGTGTGGTGGGGGAAGGTGACTCAGGACATCACATGAGGAAGCAGAGAGTGTCTACTCCATTCACAAGGACAAAATATATACCTCAAAGACATGCCCCCAATAACCCACCTCCTCCAGCAACACCTTACCTGGCTACAGTTGCCATCCAGTTAATCCCTATCAGACAATTAATGCACTGATTAGGTTAGCTTTCATAAGCCAATTATTTCACCTCTAAACTTTGTTGCATTGTCTCACACATGAGCTTTGGGTGAACACCTAATCTAAACCATTACACAGTGC